CTGTAGTAGACACTCGCTACAATGTCACCTAGCCCCATCCTCCCTTAAATCCTAACCCTAAACTGCCGGTCAGCTCCTCATCTGTACCCAGGCAGAGCTCCACACACTCTAAGTAGCCAATAATACAGAATGAAATACTCCCTTTTCATCTCCTCAAGGCTGTATCCTTCCATTAGAACACTCCAGTCAGCCATCTCCTTTATGCTAGTAAGATCAGAGCCTTCCAACTGTACACATACATAACTCATCCTCCTTGTTCCCCACACAGCGTTTGCTAGTGTATAGGAACTTAGAGCCACCCTAGCATGCTAAGTACTCATTTATTCGGGACAATACCCAATTGCTTGGGACACTTTTTCCTTAGCAGTACCTTACAAGCGCTTCCTTGCTAAACCCACAAGCATTGGAAGTGACCCTGCTTAAACTTCATTTAGCTGATTTAGTGATCCCTCCTGATTACAACATCCCAGTGTCCCTTGTTCAGCAGCCTGAACCTCAAGGTCCATCACTCCATAGAGTGGTTGCTGGTAAGTCTATTCCCCATTAATTTTCTTTGAGACACCACAACATATTTACCTGTTCTCATAAATCTTTAATGTGATGGCACAGCTCTTCTAGGATAGCACACCTCCTGCACAGTAGATTCTACCCTCAGAGGCCCTAGGCACCTTCTGGAGTCAGGGACGTGGAAGGCTGTAAGTTGCCCAGCTGTGGTTCTTAGTTATTTCAGCCAGCTAAGTAAGCAGGACACGAACAGTTCCTTCTAGGCAAGCAGTTCCCATGACCCAAGTGTACACAACAAATTCATTCCCTTCACTCTCACACAGCAGTTTCAACTTTTCTCAGCTTATACTCTGTGGTAAAATGGACAAGTTAAAAAAAAAAAACACAGCTTTTTCTCATTTCCAGCCCAAACTACTTCATTAACTATTAATACTCCCCTGTTTTTATGCCAGTATTACAATTTAATCACAGACAACCTTTCCATTTGCCATGGTATCTACCTATGTAGAATACTTAGCACCACCAAATCCTCCTCCCAGCTTGTGTGCTAAGCTAAGCCAAGGCCCTTTCGTTTACTCTCAACATAATAGTCTCAGTCTTCCATACTGTCTCTGCCACAACTGTTCTAGTAAAAATTCACTCCTTTTGGGAACAAGTGGCCAGCATACATATTGAAGATGTTGAAGTCTAGATCTTTAAGTTCTTGGCTGAAGAACTTTCCTTGCTTGAAAAGTCAAACTCCAACACAAAATAAAAGAGACTAACTACAGAAGGAAAGCAAATGCAGAAGCAGTATACACGTAATAAAACAAAAAATCTAGTAGGATAGAGCATAACTTTAAAATGCTAAAGTACTTACAAGGTGTTAAAATGATGAAAAAACTGCATGTGCTTCCTGACACTTAGTCTGGTTATCATCGAAAATATTTTGCATAGTCATCTATCAAATCTTAAGCAGCAAATACAAGCCCTCTAAATTCGTACCTTCTGCGACCTTTTCCCAATACCCCAGCTGCCCCTCCCCTGACACACTCCACGCCATCCATTCCCTTGGGCCGTGTCATGGTCACCAGAACACAGACTCCAGCACTGCCCCTCTGCACACCTATAATACCTTGATGCCCTTCCAACACTGCGGCAGCCAATGTGCACGCAGTGCTGTAGGTGAGGCCACAAAGTACAGAGGAGAGGGGGCAGCCCCTCCTCTCGCCTGGTGGCCCTTTGGGCTCCAGGGCACACTGCTGCCTCATGTCCTGCTTGCCAGAATTCCCGATCCCTTTCCATGGGGCTGCTTTTCCCCTCCCTCATCCCCCACTCTGTACATAGAGACAAGGCTGATTTTTGTTGGAGCACACTTCTGGGATATTCAGTACAGCTTAGGTTAACACCTAGCCCAAATTTCTGAACTTTAAAAACAGGAGATCCAGCGCAAGAAGGTATGATGTGCACATCCTAAAATCCCTACACATCTAACAATAAAGCATATTAAGTACATATGAGAACATGAAGAGGTTCTAACTTCCCTAACGAAGCATCCTATTAACCATGCACAGTGTTAAACAAGCAGGCATCTCATTGTGTCAAAAAAGCTCTACGTAAAAGCCCACTGTACAAGGATGAGACCAGCAAACTTTGCTTCACATAGTGAATGTATCTTCTACTTCTCCCCTTTCTGACAGTGAGGATGTTAAGGGTATCAGCCCAGGGAAACTGATAAAGAAACAGAACAGCCTTGCTTAAAATTACTATTTCACTTTAAAACAGAACTTAAAAATATTTGTTGAATTTTTTAAAAAAAGCTTATTTCAGACTTACACAGCAATAACTGGCAAAAGACTTAGAAGTTTGCAGTGCCAATCCTATCAGTTCAGATGAGATTTATCTAGACAGGTCTGCATCAGCTTCAGAATACTTATTATTCCCTTCTAACACGTAGCTTAACGTGTTCTCTCAGTTAGAGAATGAACACAATAACCAGCCTGTGTCCATAAATGCACATTCTGATTTGACCTGAGTGCTCAGGTAATGAACTGCTTTGTGCAGAACTAGAACAGCTACAGCTAGTAAATCCATTCTCTATAAAAAGCACGATGAGTACATGCTTTTGATGACATCTCCTATGGCTTTGTCTCCTCTCCCGTCCCTTCCCCCCCAAAAAAGCCACGCTTGCAAAAATTTCTTTATTTGATAATAACCCTTCTCAGACAACATGGCCTGAAGCTAAACTTTTTTTTCCCAACTTTTATTCAGTTAAAATACTTGACAGTCCTTATCTACTGCTTCCAAAAGCAAGAGTACTTCATACTCTCAGTCTGATTTTTCATCAGCAAAACTGCTCAGTGGGCTAGCACTTCACAACAGAACAGCACAAAATAAAGTCAGAGTATAAAAAACACTCTTTGAACTGCACATTTTAGCTGCCTGATCAAGCAGAAAATTAATCAACTGCTTGTGTAAAAGCTTTAAGAAGCCAAATCAGTTATTTTGAAGTGTATTTCTTCATACTCCCTCCTGGAAAGTCTATTTAGTGCTTTCCTTACTACTGATGAGAGTTCTCTATTACAAGCATAAACTCTTATTAGAATACTATCTTGCATTCTAACATAAATCTCTTCAGACTCATATTTACTCAGAATGCAGGGAGAAAGTGCTAGAAACAGAAGCCAATTTTAGCGCAACAAGTTTCCCCGGCCTATCACAACTAGATCATTTTTGGCCTTGTCACAGCACAGGGCACAATTCCAAGTAAACAAGTCTACCTCCAGCAGCAAAACATGCAAGTGTAGTTCAAAGACTAAAACCAATGTTCCCTGAACTCTCAGAGTGGACACATTTGTTCAAAGATGCCAGAAAATTCCCCTAAGGATTCCATGCAATCTACTAAAATCAGTATTCTTCAAAATCTGAGAAAACCCCAATGGACATTTGGTTAGTACTCTGGGTTTGAGAGTTCCCCCATTCCCTTTATTAATTTCTAATATCCACAGCACTTTCTACAGTAAGCCCGCCCTTAATTTTCTAAAACACTGTCCTAGGAAGTTTAAACACATTTTCACCTTGATGCCTTAAGGACTGACACAGCCAAGGCCTAACCCTGCACACCTTTACAGGGAGCGTTCCCCAAATCCTAACCACATTGCATCTGCACGAGCACCTGCTCTTAGCCAAGGCCAAACAGACTGCGCTCATGAGAAGCATTCCTGTCAGCTGCTGCACCTCAGTGGCAACACATCTGCATGCAGACAGTGCAAGCAAGTTTCACATCACACAACTTCTTACTGATGCGTTTTGCTGTCTCACAGGCTGGCAACATCCTCCCAGCCCTTCCCTTGCCCTCCTTTTTCTCAACGTGGAGAAGAGCAGATAAGCTTACAAGAGAATTTCTCCCAGCAGTAAGTAAAGTGCAATGTTTTAGATCCTTGGTGGCTTCTGATACATGCTTCAGCGAGCAATTTGCCATCTGCCTGTCACACCGTTGGGCCAAACGAGCTCAACCAAATTTTGGCCGTCCTCCTGGATTGTTTTTACAGACGGAGGAGGGCAAGCCAACAGGCCTGGCAGCAGCAGGCACAGCACAAACATAAGGCTGCTGCAGACACCTCCAGAGGCCCAGCTCGCAGCTCTGCTCCAAGGAAAGCGCTTTACAAATGAGCAACTACGTTCCCCGGGACTCCCTCCCCGCAAGGAGCTCCGTGCTTGCCCGAAGGCACCCAGCGGCGCGCCAGCAATCACCCACCGGCACCCCCACCGCAGCGGAGCAGCAGGGGCGGCCCCGCCGCTTTCTCCGCTCGCGCTTTTTCGGCGGGAAGCCGCGTGCCGCCGCCCCGCTTCCCCCTCCCCCTCCAGCGCCGAGCCCCCACGACGGGCGAGGGCCGGAGCTCCCGCCATGCTCCGCGGCCGCCGCCTCGACGGAGCCCACCTGTCCCGCGGCGGAGCTCACGCGCCGCCCGGAGCGGTGCAACCCGCCCGGCCCTGTCCGCCCCGCGGGGCCAAAAGGAAGCTATTTCCCTTCCGTCCTCCGCGCACCGGGAGCCCCGCGGCCCTCCCGGTCTCTTCCCCCGCGATCCCGGCCCACCCCGCTCCCGTCGCAACCCCCCCGCCGCCGCGGCTCGGGCACGGCGCTCGCCCCGCCGGGACGGGGAGAGGCCCGCAGCTCGGGAGAAGCGGAGCGTCCAGGTTCCCCCCGCTCCCGCACCGTCTCCTCGGGGTCGATGTCGATGCGGAAGGTCTGCTGCTGCAGCGTCTTCAGGGTGATCTGCATGGCGGCGGCGGCGGGCCGTCCGGCGCCCCGGGTCGGCGCACTGCACGGCACTGCACGGCGGGAGGAGCGGAGGCGGAGCGGCGGCGCGCTGTCACCTCACGGCCCCGAGCGGGCGCGGCAGCTGCCGGAGCTGAGGGAGCGGAAGGCGGCGGGTGCGAGGAGTAACGGCTGCGGGCCGGACGGGGGAGGGGCGGGGGGAGGCGGGGGTGGGCGGAGTGCGCACGCGCAGTCTCGTGGGGGTGGGGCGTGTGTCGTCGCTGAGTCGGGGGACGCCGCGCGCATGCGCTTCAGGGCTTCCCGCCGGCGCCTCGCGCCTGCGGGGCCACCAACGGCGGCGATCGGGTGGTGCGGCGGCTGGGTGGGGCCGCTGCCCTGCCTGTGGGGCCGAGTTCTTCTTAGGCGTGCGGTGGGCCGCGGGAGCGACTGAAGAGACCGGTTACTTGCTTAGGATGGAGGCGGGCAACATGAACCGGGCAGCGTGGGGGCCGGATCCTGCTGGTGCTGCTGCAGGAGTTATTGCTGGCCTCCTTTTCCCTCGGCATTCCTCAGGCAGCGAAGAGCAATCCCTGCTGCGCACAGCGTTCAACCCGGTGTTGAGCCAGCTACTCTGACACGAGAAATACCTGCCCTTGTTCCATAAAGCTGCTTCCATCTGTAGGTGTGGGACCTTGCACTGCATTTCTTGGTCCCCAAGGCGAAAGGTGATGCTAATAGTAGGTGAGCACAGGGCATGGACCCTGGATGTCTTAAATCATGCCTTGAGAAGTTCTGCTTGGCCACTCACCATAATTTTTGGTAGCGGAAGTCGCACTTTAATTCATTATTAGGAGTTTGGTTTCCGGCAGTGGAGGTGCATCGCAGAGCGAAGGGGCAGCCACCTCCCTGCAGCGGGGTGTGGGTGCCTGTGGGCTGCACGTACAGGTGTGCTGCTTCTGTCCTCATCCCCCTGAGGCCGTGGTGCACAGCTACTGGGCAGCCAGAGCTTCCCGGGGCTTCTGCACCCGAAGAGAAACTGCTGAGTGTTGCTGGTAGGAATCCGGCGTTCTTGGCAGTGCACAGTAGCTTGCTTGTGTTGCAGAGAGCCATTCAGAACTAGAGGCTTGAGATAAAATATCACTTGCTATTTTTTGCATGACTGTTTACAACCTGCAATATACTGTTTGCTCACTTTCACTGTTGCTCGATCCCAGATTTAGTTCTGTACGTTGCAGATAGAAAGGATATTTTTTTTCTACTTAGCATTTAGCACTCCAACATACATTCTGCTGAATGAATGCAAATGAAAGTACTTTGTGCTGAGCAATTGTATTAGTTTCACTACTCCTTTTTGTTCAGACTGTGTTGAAAGGAAACTACTCATACTCTCATTTTTGTGGTTGCTGGTTGTAGTACAAAACAGCTCTGCACAGTTCGTGTTAGGGCAAGGATTCATTTACATGTGGTTGCTTGGTTCTGCCCTGAAATCTTGTAAAAGCCTTAATATAATTGGGAATCAGCTCCAGAGGCTGTGAACCGGTAAGAATGATGTTTTTTGTGACTATTGGAGCTTGGAGCAAAAAAAAGAGAATGTTGGGGGAAAAAAAGAATGTTTTTCTACTTCAGAGTGATATGGAACTTAGGGACAGCTCGCTGTGTGGAGCCCACTTCAAATCAATGGGTTCTTGATGTTTTCTGTAGCTCAAAACTTTCAGCTCTATAAAACGAGTTGTGACAGGGCTGAAATTCCTTTTTCAGGCTGCTTTCTATCATTTACAGAATTGAGGTATTTTTCCAGAGTATTCTGAGTGTAGTTTCATGGTACTTCTTGAGTCAGTGCTTGGTTTTTGTTTTGTTGGTGTTTTTTTTTTTTCCATTTTGTGTGGAAGTAAATAAAACTTTTCATCCAAGAATAATTTAGTTACTTAATCATTGATTTCCTTGGAGCACTAAACAGTTGGAAGGGAAGGAAATGAAAATGATTTAGGTATGACAAGCACCAATGTTTTTCTCTGAGAACAATTAGCTGATGTCTGGACCTGGAAGGGCTGTTGTTACAGTAGGAGGATTTTACAGTACTTCAGAGCACAGTCTCATTGCAAGCTATTTTAATATTTAGACTTATTTTGAGATTCTGTCCTGTCTTTGGTTCTTTCTGTGCTGTAGTAACAAGCACAAATGGAAGCTGAAAGTTGCACGCTGGTCTTCTGTAGCTCAGCAGAGCTGCAGTGGAAAGGCAAGACATCTGAGTACTTCCAAAGCAATACTAATTATTGTGTATGACATTAGAGTGGCAAATAACATAGCGAGCACATTGCTATTACTGCAGTTGGACAGTGTCACACTAAGGGGTCTTCCTAACTTCATGGCTGCACTGAGGAGCTGTTGGATGGATTGCTCTCTGCCCTACAAAGAGCTCCTAGGGAAATTACATCAGAAGTTGGCAACAATTAATCTGGATTATTGAGTCAAGAATAATATTTATCTGGAAAATAGTGGATCAAATCCTGCAGGTCTAACTGGGCCTACTGTGAATAAATTAAAACAGTGTATTTTTGTATGAGTCATAAATCATATTACAGTCATCACTGTGGTTAACTAAAAGTATTTTAATTTAATCAAAATACAGTTAAAACTCACTTAAAGAAGTTTGATATCAAATGTACTGCCTTACACACAGATTAATTCTTTCAATGGTGGTGTGAAGAATTAAACACCAAAATAGATCCTGTTATACGTGACTGTGGATTTATGCATTACATGTTTCTGAGCATGAGTTTCCAACACTTTGCTTTTTCTTCTTACATTAGAATAAAAGAGAACAATATTCCCATGCTTTTGAGACTTCTGTTACAGCATTCATAGCTTTAACAGGCCATCTGCTTTGGAGTAATGTAACTGCTGCAGAGCATTGCTTTCTTGGTATACGCATATCTTGACAGATGGAGAATGTGAGCCCTCTGGATTCATCAAGAAATCACTTTTATGTGTAGCTGCTCTATACATTTCTAGCCATTTGTAAAACAGTGCTAACTCCTAGGTCACAGAGACTACAAAATCACAGAATCACTGCTGTTTCAGGGATATACAGGTTGTCTTTATTCCAGATTTCTTCTCAGAGTGGAGTCAAAAACAAATTCAGACCTGGTGTGCAGAGCTTTGTCCAGCCAGGTTTTGAAAACCTCCAAGGACAGAAATCCCACAGTCTCTGTGATTCCTGCCAGAGTGTTTATTCTCACACTCATTTTTTCTTTTCTGTCCATGCTGAACCACTCTAGTTTAATCTGATGTCACTGTGTTGCCCATATACAAGACATCACTGGCAAGAGCCTGTACCCATCTCCTTGTCCTTGTTCATGCATAGGTATTAGAATATTGTTTTGTGCCTCAAAACCTCTGCTCCAGACAGCAGTTGTCATGGACACTACAAGGAGTATTTCACCTCCCTAACTCAGCTCAGACACTGTCATGCTTTAAGGTTCTATATACAGACTCAAGAGCTGCTACACAGCTCTGCTGTGGATGGCCTTCCACCACACCTCTTCCAGGAGCATCCGGGTCTATTCTAGCCCTGGTTGCCCTGGCTGTGCCAGGAACTGGAGCAGTCTTTGTGGATGATCCTTTGGAAGCAGATGAGGAGAATTGCATCTTGTTCATGTTGGACTTCCTTGGCCCAGATGAGGAGGTGCTGAGCCAGCTTCTGGACTTGCCCCTGCCAGCACATACAGGAGCTTGTTGTTCTTGAGTGGTGCAGTGAGGAGGCCCGCTGCCTGAGTGGTTTGAGGGGCATTTCTGGTGATGGGATCAAGAGAGCAGCTCTGCTACCTGCCCAGCAGGCTCAGGGACTCCTGCCCCCCAAGTAGACTGCTTCAGGAGATGTTCTCTGTCAAATGCAGGATCTCCATCAGAGCACCTCAGCTACTTTTCATGTGGGTCCCAGCCATCTCTTCTGCATCTCTGTTCACATCCTGAGGGAGCAAGAAGAGACTCAGGAGGCATTAGAAAGTCCCTCTGCTTCCAGCCAGGGCTGTGGGCATTCCTCAGTGAGTCTCCATCACCAGCAGAGGAGAATTTTCACCTGTCCAGCCTTACTGCCACCCAGCAAGAGGCCACACCACCATCAATAGCAAGAGGGTACCTGAATACCTTGCAAGTGGCCTCACAGTGTCATCAGTCAGCTCACTCAGCACCATCAGATACATCCCACAGGTACAAATGGAACTCGTATGTCTAAAGCTTTTCTGTTGGAGCAAATGATGTTCTGTTATGAGTTCCCTGGTTAGCAGTGCCAGTCTCCTGATGATGTGTTGTTGTTTTTTTTCTTCTTGAAAGTGAATTGTTCTTGTTGAAGAGAAGATTGTAGGGCCTGCTAGTCCTTTTGAACTCCTTTCAAAGTTAGCTCCCATAAGAGCCATTTTCCAGCTATTTCTTAACTGAAAAAAACAAAGCTGTCACTCTTGAGTTCAGGGCTTTCAAGTGCTCTGCTACTATGGCTACTCACCTTTTACACACACCACAGGATCTTGAATTCATCTGTATAAGGGTCAAAGCTGCTACTGATTATCATGACCCTGACAAGTCTTCCACATTTGTGTGTTACAGATCCAGGACAGCATCACCCCAGGTTGGTGTATCAGCATCTGTGTTATCCCTGCTCCCTCCAGAAATGTCTGTGTCATTTGTGGCTGATGCCGGGGAGATTGAAGATCACCAGAGAAACCAATGGCAGTGACTGAAGAACCCCAGCAACACTGTCATACAACGGAAGTGCTCCAGCTCAGGCTTAGCAGTTGAGGGTATAAGAAGACAGTGCCAAGAGAGCATTCCCCAGGGATCAGATGTACTCTCTGAAAATAAAGTAAGGTGGTGTATTCTGGTGTTAGGTTCATCGGTTGGGTTTCATTGTTTTGTACATACAATAAAGTTATGTTGGGTCAGAAACTGAATGCTTGTCTCCTGTGTGAATGTATTTGTGATCAGTTTAAACCTTTTTGTTCTTGGGCACAGCCTTTCAGAATTTGTACAGAATTCTTGTACTCTAACTACATGGCTTTTATTTTGTGAGATTCTTCCAATCATTTCAGTTGACCTTCTCTGCACCTGCTCCAAATTGATTTAATCTTACTTGGACTTTAACTGAAGCCCACACAAATCTCACTGGTACAATTTGTGCCTATATTTTGTGCTCTGTACCTGCCCTGCAAAGCACTTCCCCTTCTCACAGCACTGTCTTACAGGTAGATACTGTAGGACCAGCTGTATACACTTGGCCTGCTTGGTACTTTCTCAACAGTTGTCAGCCGTGGATCTCCAGAGCTGAAATTTTTGCTACTGTTTCTGAAACAATATGACTTCAGTTGACTTTGGGATCTGGGTTGTGGTGGCTTCACCTTGGTGGGCAGCTGAACAGCAACATGTTTCCCTCTTGCCTTCCCTCTTTGAAGGAAGAGGGGGAGGGAATATGATAAAAAACAGCTTAAAGTTTGAAAGAAGGACAGGGAGATTGTTCAACAGTTAGTGCCAGAGGCAAAGGCTCAGCAGAGGGAGGTTAATTTAATTTACTACCTCTTAACAAGAGATTGGAACAGTGAGAACTAACAGTAAACCTACCTACCCACCCATTCCCTCTTCTGCCTCTTCCCCCAAGCTGTGCAGAGGAACAGAGAGTAGGGGCTGTAGTGAGTCTATAATGTTCCCACTCTCTGCCACTCCTCCACGGTCCTTCTCTGCTCTTGCTTCTATGGATGCCATCTTCTCTGATTTGATCCTGAGTGGACTTCCCATGGGCTGCAGCCTTCCAAGCACTGCTCCAAGATGGCTCTGTATTACAGGGCCCACTGTTCAGGCACTGCTCCACACGGGTCTCCATGGCCAGCAGCTCCCCCAGCTCTCCTGCCCCAGCATGGGCCACTACCCACTCCAGGAGCAGCTCCAGCCCGGGGCTGCTCCTGGAAGGTACCCATGGACTGCGCCCCCCAGGTCCCTCCACTACTGCACTACGGCATCCTTCATGGCTGTACAGGGCAGTGTCCACGGGCTGTAGGAGACAGCCTGCTCCTCCACGGGCCTCTCCTGAGCTGCAGGGAGCTTCTGCTGCATGCCAGGAGCACCTCCCACACTGCTCCTGCACTGATCTGGGTGCCTGCAGTACTGCTTCTCTTCCATTTCTCACTCCTTTCTCCCAGTTGCTGTCATGCTGCAGTTTCTCCCTTTCATATCTGCTATCCTAGTGCACATCCAGTGTTGCTTATGGCTCAGCACTGGCAGTGATGTGTCCTATTGGAGCAACTGGAGCTGACTATGCTCTAACATGGGGCAATGTTGGGCTCTGAGCAGAGGACAGCCCCACAGACCACTCCATTACACAGACTTCGCCAATTAATCCCAATAGCTCACATTTATTTACTTTATTCCTGTTATCAAAATCATATCCTTTTCTGTGTGGACAACATCTGTGGACTTACAGCTAATCACAGTGCACTTTCTTGCCGCACAGTTATTTAAGAAAGTTTTCAGTAAGGTGGGTCTGGACAGCAGACCCTGAAATGTGCAGTAACTCAATTCTGAATGAATTATACCCTGTCGCTACATATCTCTCTCTCCATTCCTTCTTCCTATAGTCAGATTCTTAGCTGTTATACCACAGGAACTACTATTTTCTCAGTCACCCATTGTTTCTAAAATGACACCAGTCAAATTTCTGCTGTGCTAAGGGGGTCATGACAACATCCATTAGTTTGTGGTGGTCTCCCAGCTCTCAGGACTGTTTTTACGTGAATGTAATGGAAGGTAATACAGCTAGACTGTGCTAGTAACACAGATTTTAGATTCCTTCATATAACTTGGGCTTAATGATGCTGTTGCCTCCAGACACTTTCTTACATGCAGATCAGTGCACAGACACGTGGTTGCATGTTGCATTATCCACATATAAACTGCCACAGCAAGCGTTTGAACACTGATGGGTCAGCAGGCTCACTTGGGAGTGTGCCCTGCTTCATTAGATGGCTGAGAAGCATGCTTGGTGCTTAATTTTTTTTAGAAGAGAACTGTATGGCTTCTTAGCTGGCTGTGGTGCACATTCCAGTTGAGCACTTCTTACAATTTCAAGGTTCAGCAAGCAATTCAGCTGGGGCAGAAGAAGTAATTACAGAGTTGTGAAAGGCTGAAATGTAAAACAGATGGATGGATTGTTCCTTCTCCCTGCCAACCATAGAGAAAATATAATTCAGACTCTCGATAAAAGTGAATTCTCTTAGTTTGAAGAGATCTTTTCTCCCTCCCAAAGAGAAGAATGACACTGCACATTTGAGCATCAAATTCTGATACTCAGTTTACCATCAGGATCCCTGGCGTCATTGTGGTCAGCACAAGTATTAGGTAGCTGTGCCCACTGGAGTACTGCAGCCACGCTGAGCTTTCCTGATGGATGCCTATTCAGCTGACACGCTGGTGGGTGACTACTGAACTCCTCAGGCAAAGCCTTTCCTGGTGCAAACGAAAGTGGGGATATGTAGCATTTAATTCATGTACCCCTTCCCGTCGCAGTCTTCTTGGCTCTGTCCTCTCTGTCCTCTGCAGTGTGGAGTTGCAGTGTATGTGAGATGTGTTGGCTCTAATTTTGCATGACTACCAGTAAAAGCAAATACAGAAGAAAAACAAAAACAAACAAACAAACAAACAAAAAACCCCACAATTTCTTGGGATTTAACAGCATGTTTTCCTTGTTAACTCTGAAACAATTTGTTTCTCACTGGCATTTCATTGGCAATACAGGAGATAGTTCAAACCCATGGGCAGGGTGTCATAGCAGGCATCCAGCAGCCTGCTGCTGGTTCTGCCCAGCACAGCCCATCAGGGACTGATTGTAATTTGAGTTCTCTGTGGTATTGTGGTGAGAGCTCAATAGATCTTCCAAGTTGCAGTGACTTATAACTTCAAAATATTTTCTTAATTAAATAGAAGAAACAAATTAAATTACTAACACTGAGAACAAGAAATAACAATCATCCACTAATGGTTTGTCAGAAGACAAGTTCAGTGAAGAGGAAAATCAAATTAGGTGCTGCTGGGTTTGTCTCTGCTTTCTTGCTTAAATGGTGTTTTCTAAGATCAAGGAGAGGACAGATCAAGCCACTATTCCATTTCAGGATCTCTGTGGTTCTCACTTGCACGTCTAGTTACAGATACTGGTGGTTACAGCAACACTTGCTGCAGCAAGAGTCACAAATAAGATTGTTAGGAGTGTGAGAGAACTGAAGGGGATAACTGGTTTGCTGGGAGAGAGGATGATAAAGACTTCAGAGCTGAAAAACTGACCAGAAACATGTTGACATCAGTGGCAAACTTGAAATAAGGAAAAGCAAGCAGACCTAAACCAAGTAAGAAGCAGTGCTGTCCAGGTGAACCTACATTGAAGAGAGAAGCTGAAAGTTCAGGAGGTATCAATAGTTACGAATTATTTTTTCTCCTTCTCACAGCTGTTGCATGGCTGCTATAAGAGCACAAAGGGAGAGGATTCACTTACATGAGGGAGCAGTGGTGGGTGGATTGGTGTACATGGGGTGAAGCTGGTAGTACAACTATACTAGTGCACAATCAATAGCATTTCATACTGAGAGGCAAAAGAGCAAAAGTAGCAATAACCCTCAGCAGTGTGCTTCTTACAAGAGACAGGGCTTCATATTTCCAGCTGAGGCATCACTGATGGTACATGTAAATTACACACTTCAGCATGTACAAAGGCCACCTGATGCACTCAGGATGCAGCAAATCACTTACACCTGCTGAAAAGACATTACAGTGTGTGCCCTGATCATGGAAGCACAAGAGTTTTCAGTGGTAGCTGTTCAGCACAGTAGCCATGCAGAGCAGCTACAGCTAGTTGCCATGGCTCAAGCAATGCTGTGGTCTCATCAGAGATTTCCAGCAGGACAAATGCTGCTCTTAATTTCCAACTGGGAAAAAAAGAGCAAAGGGCAATCCAGAGAAGTCAGTGTTGGTCACCTGTGCAGTGAGAATGTAATATTAATATGATAAGTGATTATTTTGTCCATTTTAGTAAGCAAATATTTACTGTGTTTGGTTTAGAATAATAGTTAGGTCATGCCTAAGGGCACATTTCTCAGGTATCTGATTGCTGCTTTAGTAAGAAAACTCCTAAATCTCTCTGTTCACTTACTGCAGACTCATTTTTCTCCCCCAGCTGACCATTCACTGTTGGAAGTGGCAGTATCCCAAAATGCTTGTTGCTTTTGCACAGGTTGCTGTATTTAAAGCTTGTCAGCATGTAAACTCAAACTTGCAGGCAGCAGAAATCTGGAGTGCAGTTAAGCTAAAAATCTTGTTCTTTGTGCCTTCAAAGGATATAAACTTCTGTAATTTTTTTTTTATCTCTAACAACTGTTTTATCAGTACTTTACAATTAAAAAATAAATCATCTTGTCCTTGTAGTTACAATCAAGTTTCTTCTTTATGTCTCTCACTTTCAAGAGCTGAGTATTCTTGCACAAAGCAAGACTCAAGTGCTACGTCTAGAGCCCAAATTGAAACACAGCTGCCTTGACATGTGTTTTGCTGGAGAAGCATTTTTTCAAAATATGTGAATTTGGTGTGCCTTTCCATCTTTCCTGAAATGGATTTTCCCTTTCTGAATAGAAACAAGCTGCAGTTTTACATCTTCTTTTATTCTTCATTCTTCCAATTTCTGGTGATCTGTCCAGTTCCAAGAAGGGTGTTTTGTTTTTTTCCTCCCTAAATCTGATGTTATTTTTTAGGTACCAACAATTTAGGGGATAGTCCATCTTCAGATTTCCATGAGACAGAATTATCACTTATATGCCTCAGGTCCATTGCGTTCTTTTTACCCATCCAGCAGATGGCATCTAAGCTTTAGAAAAGGTCATCTTCCTTCATACTCTAGATTCTGCACAGATTCTTTTTTTGT